GTGTGTGTGTGTGTGTGTGTGTGTGTAGCCAGAGGTAGGGCAGCATCAAGTTCCTCATCTGAGCTGCAGTGCGTATCTGCAGGTGGTATGAGGAAGGAAGAGGTCGGTCATTAGGTTCTGCCTTCAGAACAAGATAAAGACCAGAAAGAATGAGAGTAGACAAGTTGCCAGACAAGAAATGGATGGGGACAACTGGGCTTTTATTCTGGGTAAGAAAGAAATGGGAGCGTTTGAATTTAGTTTGTGTAACATTTCAGTGCAGGATATAKGAGACACATCAAGTGTTTCAGAGGRCTGGTGTAAAGTAGAGACAGATTGCCAAGTCAGAAAGCTCAGTTTTTCATATTTTAATGTGCAGCTACTTTGAAAACGACACTTAGTATTATTTTTGATCAGTTATCTAACAGTTYATGTTGTTTTTTGTGCTTTCATGAGAGAATGTAAATAAAACTGTATAAAATAGTACAATGAATAACTCGGTTTAACGTTTTAGTCAATTGTGCAAAATGCACAATTAATCTTGTTTCTTATTTACAGGAACTTTTAGGTTTTTTCCATAACTGCTCTTTGCTTTTACTCATTTGTATTTTTTATTTTTATATATTTTTCAATTATACTGGAGAAGCATGAGATTTAAGTAGATCTCCAAGTTCTTCCAAGTTAATTCTATTTAACATAAAAATTGATCGGATAATCCGTACATTAAGAGTCTTGTGCCGTATGGAGCAAAATATATTGAACTTYCTGTCTGACCTGCAGCAGCTTTCTCCATCTACGCTGAACGACTGTCCTGGTTAAACTGCAGCTCATTGATTTCTCACAGCGCTAATGAATTTTCCATCCAAAAAGGTTTCCTTGATGGTTACAAGGCCGTCTTTTCATCTGTGTCGACCATGAAAACATTTTAGTTTTGACGGCGTTTGCTTTTTCACGCTGGTGCAGCCAGCTCACTCAATAATACATGAAAACGTCGACTTTAATCCTCAGGAGGAGAGATGCTGTACAGCTGACCCCACCTAGCCTTTAAACCTCCCACAGAAAACAGCTTTCAGTCATGCCTTTGGTTTGTGACCTGTAGCCAATGACCCGTCTTCTTCTGTCTCCTCAGGATTGAAAAAACGTACAAGGAAGGCCCTCGGGTTACGGAAGAAAGAGAAAGACAATGACTCTGCGTACGTTCTTTTCTTTTGTTTATGATGTTACGGCGAGAAACAAGCCTCAATGCAAGTGTGCATGCACAACAAGATTTGAGCGAGTGCACAAGCTGATTTGCATGCACACACGTTAACGGATCTGCTCGCCTGTAAATTTAACTYAAGACWTTCACMCGTGAAATGCTGCATTCAGTCCTGGCGAAAAGCTGGGAAATCTAAGCTTTACCACATTTGCTGGGTTATTGGGAAACATACATTTCTGATTTATAGTACATAAACCCTTCAATATGTTAAAACACACTTAGACTGACGTTACAGGATCCTAAAAATGTCACATCTTGTGAACTGTACCGCTAAAATAAACAACCTAAAATAAGTATTTATCATGACAAATAAATCAATATTGGAAAATAGATTTTCCCAGTAGCTTCCCAAGTTATTCTTCCACAAAAACTACTAAATATATATACAGTATATGAATTTTCAAGCATTTTCTGAATAGTTTACTTCAAATATAGCCTACAGTACTCAAAATAAAAAAGCATATAAATTATACTTTTGGAATATTTATTTATTAGTAGTAGTTTTTGCAGAGGAACATTGGTAAATATGTTTTTCAGTAGTTTTTGTAGAAGAATAACATCATTTAACCCTGAAATAACCATATAATTGCCTGTATTTTTGTAGTTTTTTTTCTAAATTGGTACGTTATTCTTTTTGTGGAAAAACTATTGGGAATTTTTTTTCACAGTATTTATTTTTTAATTATGATGAATTTTCAACCTACTCATTTTAGCTGTGYAAGATGTGATATTTTTAAAACCCATCAATGTTTTCATATACTGTAGGGTTTATGAGCTGTAAGTCAGAAACGTGTGTTTCCCAGAACCCCTGTAAATGTGATAAAGCTCAGTTTTCCCAGCTTTTCACCAGCCTTGAACACAGCATCATATGTGTGAAAGTCTCTAAAGTCACGTTGACAGGCGAGCAGATCCATGCACTTGTGCGCAGGCAAAGCTTCTTGTTTGCTCGAATCTTGTCGAGCACGAGTGTGCGACTTATTTCTCTCCTTATGGTGTCCTGTATGATGCGTGAGCAGAACATGTTGACACGCAAAAATGCTGACTAACCTGASAAAACGTTGGCATGAGGTTAGCTCTATAGGTTCTCTGTGTTAATGGGCTTTTTTATAGAAATGAATGTTGTGTTTAGCCTTTTTGAAACTCTGCATGAGACTCTTGATCATTTGCTGGGATGTTATTAATTTGTAAGTGTAAGTGTCGAGTAGTCCTTTTTAAATCATGTCTTTAGGTCTAATTYCTTGTGACTAATTAGCAAAGCACTTGACTTTAGAACTCACTTATCTTTTCTCTTCTCCCTTTTATTTCACACAGGGGGTCTCCAGACAGAGATGGTGGTGTAAGTAACTTTTATTTTTTTCTTGACGTTACATAATAAGTTTCACTCACCTCATATGTAAATTAGCCTCCAGTACAAGCATTGCACAGTYTTTCTGGAGGTAACTGAATCTGGTAAATAGGACATAAATWATTTATTTTCTCTGTTCTTTTCGCCTGCCAGGAACCACAAGTGGTTGAGTCGGTACTGAACTGTTCAGTGTAGAYTAGCAGCTAGAGTAGTGTTGTGTGTAGAATTTAGATGGGTAATAAACATCACAGCTTGTTCTTTAACTCATCAGGCTTCCCACAATGCCTCAGCTGAGCGAGAAGGCTTGGTAAAAAAATACTGCTGGAAAATAATGTCTGGGAATAAAAAAGAAATATTTATTTATCACTTAACTGAMTTATTTTTTGGCTTTGTGTTTTAATATGATTGGTACCCAGTGAGACATGCACAAAAATTCAAAATAATTGTTTTGAAATTGCCAAAAACCACTAATAACATWTTGTCCAAAAATTTACAAAGTGCATAAAATCAACGATTAATGGAGAGTTGGCTGTAAAAAAAAAAAGTGTTGTTCGTAGGTAGCATAGAAGTAGTGGAGTCTTACATAACACACTTCTCCTTCAGTGTCTGAGGGGATTTTGATGATAAGTCTTTTTTTGTTTGTTTCCTTAGTCTCAGAAGAGGACGAATGGGGCTCCTAATGGCTTCTATGGAGACATYGACTGGGACCGATATGTAAATATTGTTTTATTCCTGTTTCAAACTGTTAGCTTCTTCTGCACCAACTCATGAACAAAATTATGGGGGCACCAAGTGTGAAAAAAAATTACAAAAATGTCAKTTTGAATTTAGATTTTAAATATCCTGATGCATCTCAGTAACCCAGGTAGAAAAATAAAAAATAAAAAAAATAGGTCCTGCCTCCACATGGTGAACAAACTGTTTGTGGCTTATTTAATTCATCTCTTTCATTTTAGAGAATAGATAATTTGTCACTTTACTTTATTGGCAGTTTTCAGCAAAWAAGGAAACTTGCATCTGGAAATCTCAGCACCAACACTTTTTTTTTTTTATTCTTGTTCCATTCCTAACTTGCCCGTGTTTGATGAAAATGTAAACTCCTGTGTTTCAGAACTCCCCTGAGGTGGACGATGAGGGCTACAGCATCMGACCTGATGAAGAGGATGAGCCAGGAGATATCCTCAGAACAGTTCCAAATGTAATTACTTGTAAATATCAAGAATTTGTTGGTGAAATCGTTTTAAAAGTGATGTGTGTTGAAATGACTGAGATGAAAATGTTGATGTGTTGCCATAATTTTTTGGTTCAGAACCGATTTAAACCGCAAATCTTTTCTTTCCCTTGACAATGTGCTCCTACATACCACCAAAAAGACCCACTTCTTCTCCTCTGATGAGTCAGAGGAGGAGGAGGACCACAGGAAGAGGTTCAAAATCAAGATTAAGCCGCTGCCGGCTGATTGTGTTATAGCGGAACCATCAGTTGATGAGCTTAAAGCCTCCATAGGCAACATAGCTCTGTCCCCGTCTCCTATGGTGAGTAGCTTTAACATCATTCTTCCTGCTGGTTTTTAACAGCAAACAGCCACATTAATAACGTTTAAGTCATGTGCATCTCAYTCCTGCTCTGCAGCTTCATCCTTTCTCATAATGTGTAGAACGAAATATGTAGATTGATGATTGATACAGTCACACATTTTGTTATTCTCTGAGCTAAAAAACATTCTCTGCAGTATTTCCCTTGTGTTGTTTAACAACCAGAATTCTGTTTCAAAGAACCAGAGTCCAAACCTGGTTGAGCTGTCTCTGAGCTCAGGGGTTGCCGCCCACAGAGACCACATCCCACGGCCATGTAGGCTGCATAAAGCTGTGAAATGAGACTATCTAGTCCACGTGTCAAACCTAAGGCCTGGGGGCCAAATKTGGCCTGCCRCWGTATTTAATGTGGCCCGATGTATTAATGTTTAAAACAAGCATGCTGCTTTATAGCTCCCATAATGCATGTTGGTTATTTTGCATGCAAAATGATATCCTACTACTAAAGTAGCTGTCATCTGACACAATTCACCATTTAGAATCTCCATTTCACTACATCTTTGCTGGCTACCTTTGCTGCAACCCAGTTATACCAGGAAGTGGGAATTTTTCACTTAAAAGTTGTAAATTTAAGCTGGAATGCCCTTCTAGTGGGAATTCCCTGCCGGACAGTGAGAGAGTTCATAATTCAAGATGGGGGCTWCTCAACACAACTCAGTAGTGGATAAAACTCTTACTTTTAGTTTTTAAAAGTATTTCTGTATTTATTTCACGTTTAGCCAGTCATACACATACTTCTTAGTGTTTATAAGAGGATCTGTTAAAATGCTGTTTTTATGCTTGAAATACCGCATAGAGCTCAGCTATTGTTTGTTAGCAGGACTGAGCTGTAGCAATGAGATGAGGAATGTATTGTTTTGTGTTTAGTCTAAGTTAATTACAGTTGGCCCTTTAAGGGCCACCATAAGACTCATGTGGCCCTCAGTGAAAATGAGTTTGACCCTCCTGGTMTAGTCTTTGTGTAACATATGTTTACGTGACCATGTGTTGCCCCATTACTATGGTGTCATGGTTTATATCACAAGCCTTTAGTTGGAACGTGTATTCMTGTCTTTTTCACTGGAGGTAGAACTTCACAAAATTCAGTATTTAAAAAGTAAATAAATAAAAAACATTAATAATTTGGGTTTAGCTCCAGTATATCAGTACTTGTAATTATATTTTATTTAGCATCTCGTTGCAGCWTTTAAAAACATTTAAACTTTTAAAAACAAATTTCTCGGTCCGTGATAAACTGACGAAGTCCGCCATAAAAAAAATATATATATATATATAATCGGCACAATGAATTCTGGGTTTTGTCAGATATTTGAGCCTACGAGCTCGGACAGCCTACGGCACAGCACAGTGACGTAAACAGCCTGCAAATGCGCCCTACGTGGGCTGCAGTCCATGAGTTGAGACACAGCCTGTTAGCTGAAGCTTTGCTCCTCTGATTAGTCAGCAGATTTGTATGATAGCCTCAATTTCAGTTTGCGAGGATGATGATGATGATGATGATGATGACGATGATACTTGGTTAGTGCTGTCAGTGACCTCTCTGCTCTCTTTAGTTTTATGTCATTCAACAAAAGGATGACAGCCAACCAAATTGAAGCCTGTAAATCCTTGTTAGTGTGAATTAGCAGCAGGAATCYTGTGCTTCAGCCTTTAGGTGGCTTTTCAACTTCAACCCTATCTTGCTCTTTCTGTGGAGGACAGTTAGCTTAGGTGTCCACCTTGAATAATTGATGTAGGAAAGTGGCCACGATGAACTTGTGTTTCAGTCTGCCACACAATGGTATTACTTGTGGTTATTCGAGCTTCCAGCCTCAATATTTAATACTGTGTTCGCCCACAGACTGGGAACCTTTATCAGGAGTGAATGWCTTGTCTTGCTCTCATTGGTTGTGTGACAAACACCGTACATTATACAGTTATGTGCATTTTTAGTTTGCAGTAAACAACTCTCCACATGGTGCACGAATGCTTTGCTTTGCTATAAAAATGCTCCTGCTTGTTCTCAAACTGTTAAACTCCTGGCATTTCTTTTAACCCTCCTTCTTACTGTTTGTGCTTTTGCTGCCTAAAATGATGCTAACCCCTGTAGAGAAGTCCGGTAAGCCTCYTTTTTTTWWAGTTTGTTTTTGAATTCTTCTTTTYGTCTCTTCAAAATTTGTCACACATTTTTTGTTGTTTGCGTTGCTGCAAAAAAAAAAGTCAACTAGAAATGAGGCAAAATAATAAACCAGCTGAAATTAATCTGCATTTACAAGGTGATTGGCCAATTATGACTGTCTGTTTTCATCTAATACACAATAATGTGATGGCTCTGCCTTTCTATGCTCCTTGCAGGTTGATTTGTTTGCCTCGTGCACAAGACTCTGTTTAAAGGCGTTTCTGTTGATGGAAACTTTCCAAATCTGAATTTAATTAGGTGTGGAGTCTTTATCCTCAATTTCTTCAGTCTGAATAATGAGATTACAAGTTTTAAAGGAGGTGAAATAGGTCATACTGCAAATGGGAATGTTAGAAAAATGCCAGGCATTGCATTTTTTTCCCCCCCACGTTTACTGTGAAATTCAACTTTAAGGGTTTTGGCTCATTATTGTTTATGCTCTGAATATGTTTCTATTGCAATGTACTGTGTATTTTAGCAGAAATATGCTGCTCAGTTTTCTCTCCTTTTCAAATCCTGACACATTTTCATCAGACACAAACATTAATCTCTAAAAAGGCTTTGAGATTATACTGAGTCGGAATTCTGTGCTGCTCTTCCTGTTTACACGCAGGAAGAGCAGCAGCGGTTGGCTGCTGAGCCGTGTCACTCACTGCTCCGGCCAATGAGACGGACTCTTTTTTTCCACTGGCACGCCCCGCCCACTGTTACATCACCCTATCGCTCGTGGCTCACTGCACAACTGGAGCACACACAAGAGTGAGGCTTGGCAYGAGGTGGGCGTGACGCAGGCAGACGGAGAGATTTCACATTGAAGTGAAGTGACTGAGGAGGCAGCTGTGAGGATAGAGAGAGAAAGTTAAAGGAAAAGTCAAAKAAATTAAGGGACTGAGTTAGTTTTTTACAGAATGGTCAGGACATGGGTGTTCAGGTGTATTTGAGGCAGCTCCACTGGGTGTTCACAGATAGAAAGTTGAGTTTAGAGATTAGAGAAAATGTTCATCTCATCTCAAAAATGAAGCCATGAACACAAATCTGACCCTAGAGGGGGAAAAAAGCAATAAATACCTTCAGTTTCTCACAAAACACACAAACACTCTTCTTCTGATGCATATGCTGTCGTCTTTACTGACTTGTCACTCTCTGATCAGGTATCTCTTCTCTCTTCCTTTTTGCTGGTCACAGAGACGTAGCCCGGTAAGTCTCTTTTTCTTCTGTCTTCCTGGGGTTTGACTGAATATCTCCCCGCACCTTTTAATTGCTTCTCTTTGTGTCCATTTTAATAGAAAATGATGCTTGTTTTAGTTTTAGCAACTGAAACAATGAGCAAATAGTTGTTTTCAGTTATTTTGTTTCATTTCAATGCACAAGGTTCGAGTTTTTGTTTTTCATTCTTGTTAGCTTCTTTGCTTTTTTTCCTTTCTGCTGGGTGAGAATTTGCTCTTTTGACAGCTGGGCTCTTTGATGTCTTCGTTTAGTCTCTCCCCATCGTGTCTCCTCATCTGCTCCCGTCTCCCATCTTCTCGTCTCACTCTGTCCTCACGTCCTCCTGCATTACTTGGTCTTTTTTGTGTTTTTTGTTTTTCTTTCCTCGCAGTGACTTCATTTGCACTAGGGACTTTTAGACCGTAGCTAGAGAGRCGATAACATTTCACTTCCCTTGTCTCTGGTTTTTCACACTCCGGCTTTATCGATCCACTTGACCCCATGCCAACAGCAGCTTCTTATGACTTCAAATGCATATTTCCAAACCTTTTAGAAATGTCTTGCTTTGATGCTTGGATCCGCTGCTTTCACTGCTGTTAACGGTTAGAAGTCACTTTTTTCTAAATAATATCAGACCGATAAGACAACGGATTGTGAATTCTGATGAAATCGCTTTTCTTTTCATCCTTTTTTTTTATAAACTGTTTCTAATGATTGTTTTCGAGAGCTCAAGTGTTTCGAAAAATTATTCAGCTCAGTTTTTATTTCTGAATTATCACTTAAAGTGCTTTGTGTATCAAACTCTGTTATTTGATGCTCCTGTTAGTCCAGTCCAACCAAATTAAATAAACCTCAGGATGGAGTTCTTCCTCTGATCATCRCTAATGTACAACTTGCATTTGTCATTTATCTTAAATAAAACGTTGTCTTGTTTATTTGCACATCTCATRCACGTGTACTGCAAAAACTAGCYATCTAAAATAAGTTTTAAAAGTACTAGATTATAGATTGAATCTTCTGTAATTACGTGAAATAATCTGCCAGTGCAGGAAAATAATTGCATTTGGGAAGAGTTTTTTAAAATAAGGAAAAATTTCCAGGATWGCAAGATTAGTAATCAAATACAGGACTATTCAACTGGCAGCCCGGGGACCACATTCGGCCCAYGGGTGGCTTCCATCCGGACCACCAATGAAAAATATATACAGCGGGTAAAATAAGTGTTGAACACGTCACCA